TCAATATTGGTGTCTATGATATGGTAAACAACCTGCTGGGTATCGCATCCAGTTTTTAAACATATGCAGCTTTGTAGGTAAAAGTCTTTAAAGCCTTAAATTTTGTTGTGGGCTGTCATGACACATTACAAATCAATATATATTTGATTTATATATAATATTAATATACTAGGCTATTGGGGATGTATCGGTGATTTGGGACTAAAATTTGGACTAAAATATAAAATTTGTCTCACCTTGGATGGACATGGAGTTTTATGATCACATATTATAGACTGCCTCCCCATGTGATTTAACTCTTGGTCTGACAAAAATTTCTAACTTACATATGAACTAATGTTTAAAGCTCTGCGATTTTCCTCGAGTTTATTCCATACCTGTAAAAGAAGGTGATTGGTGTTTCTTCTTTGTTGTTGTTTTTGTTTTTTGTTTATAGATATTTATAATGAAAAAGTCCCGACTCCTCAAAAAGACGATTAAAGGGTGTGCATCCGATAGTATATCGTATTGTTTGGACTGGACTCAGTTTTTACTGCTACATAGGAGCGAGAATCAAAGGGCAGGTGAGTGTCAACACATTATGTCGCACGTGACATGTATGTGTAATTATATTGTCCACCTTTTACACTTATGTGTTGATGAATTCTTAACAGCTCTGGACTGTCCCTGCTGGGTCTTGGTACACGCTACCACACACACACATTGCAACCCCTTAGAGTGGACAGTTATGGGAGAAGAGAACAGAGCTCACCCCAGGGTGACCACAGAAACAGTAAGCTTATGTAACAGTATTATTTTTCTTAACCTCAGACTTAGTGTCCATCATCCTCACAATGGTAACGCTACAAAGCTTAGCGCCCCTCTTCTCTCCATTATTTCTGAATTCCCGCAGTTCAATCGTCACACGGTGCGACTAGGCACCTTCACTCCACCATGCTGCTCTGCTTTAGCGCAGCATGAGATTCACATGGGAAATACTGGTTAGAGCTGATGTGGCTCACAGAAAGTCTCTATTTCAGATATTGTTTTGTTGACTCTTTTTTTTGAATAAAATGTATCATCTCTACCAGAGACAGCCATTTCTTACTAGTTGACGGTAACTCAGATAAGAAGTTTGCGAGTGTTTCTCGCTGGAATATGCAGTCCTTAAATGTATTCACAACAGCAACAGCACTGCCATTTGCTGTTGGGTTAAAAAGTCCTCTGCCACCTGGAAATTGCCCTTGTGTTCAATGTCATTGTTATCAAAATCACTCTAAATATACTAATGTCCTCAGAGAGTTCAGTGTCCCTGTCCTCAATTAAGAAATGCACAACAACTCTGGCACACAAAACACAGTTAGTACATGAAAATCTGTGGTGAGGGATACACAGGGCTCCAGCATTAAAACAATCAAACAACAAAGTCCTATCATTCCCCTTAGTTATTTTGTATTATTTGTAATAAGGCAGGTTTTATAAGAGGTCGTTAATTGTGTGCATTAGCCAGGAAACAAGCATTAATAAACGATAGCCATTATTAACAGCTTATATAAGTATGTTTTTAACAAAGTTCTGTTAAGTTTATTTCACTGAGCAGCAACATTTCCCAGACAGAGCGTTCACAGGAAGTGGTGGTGGGATGCGAGTTAACATTGCTTACTCATTCAAAAAAAGGCCAAAAGTGGAATCCATAAATCATACAGTGAATTTGAAGTGTCTCTTGTCAGTGTTAACTTTGATGTATCGAGCATGGTGGGGAGGAGGCAGCGCAGTCATAAAATCAATCTCGAGGTTGTGTGGGTAGCATGTGGGAGGTTACTGCGGCTTTGATTCTGGGGATGTGAGAGAGACAGTGTTTTTTTCTCCAATATGTCTGTTCCATGTATGGAAATCCAATTCTCCTCTGCCACCGTTTGTGCCCCTGAAATAAAAACAAAGCAAAAAAAAAGAAAGGAAAAAAAAGAAAGAAGCCTGAAGTGCAGGCATATCTGACAACTTTAGTGACTCAGTGTTTTTCTATAGGTAAGGGTAAGGTGCATGTGTATGATGTTTTGTGTTTTCAACGATCTCATCTCTTCTGCAGTTTGGTGCTCTCTTTCAAAGAGCATCCACTGTTTGAAGGCCATCAGTCACTTTCAGTTCATCAAATGGCCAGAAGTCAGAGGTAGTCAGAAATCTGAAGTAAGCAGCAGATGCGTCGTCACCAACACAAACATTGAATGTTACTAATAAGCTCTCGCTGACAGCGACTGACTGTTTAGTATTTTATGAGACTCATCATGAATGAGCAGCCCGCTAGAAGTCTTATCAGTCACCCTTTAACCACTGACACCACTGCCTCTCTGCTCTCTGTCTGATCTGCTCGTCTCTTCTTCTGTCTTCCTCACGCTGCAGGAAAGTAATTACCCACTATTTTTTTTTTCCCAATTCTCACTACTTTGCATTAACCTCATCCATCCCAACACTTCCTTTTTTAACTTTCTCTCTTTCCTCTGTCTGTTCTCTATTACCTCTGCAAAAAAAGCCTCTTTGTTCCTTTATTGAAAATCACCCTCCAGTGCCCCCCAACAGTTTATGACGGACATTGTTCCCATCTGCACTCGCAGAACCTTAGAGGAGAACAGTTGTTCCTCTCTCTCCTAACTCCGCACCCATCCTTTTTTTTTCAAACCTCTTCCATTATCCAGCTCTATCTTTTCATCTCTGCTTCGTTTGCCTGAACGGCAGCCCGGGACTCAGGAGACTGAGAGGTGCTGTCCTTTTACTTTGAAACATAACTCCTAAAACCAGTTGTCCCCAGCAATGAATTCAGTCCTCCTAGCTTCCTGCCACGCAGAACCTTTGCCAAAACATTTTTATCTTTGGTAAGTGAGAGGAAAAAATACAAGGTTTGAATTTCTCTTCGCTGGCACACAGGCCAAAGGCCGCTCTCATCGCCTCCAGCTGGCTCTGAATGCAGCAGCCAGGTTCCTTACAGGGCAATAAGTCTTTTGTCATTGATTGCAAAGAGCATTTTTGCTGATCTGGTGCCATTAACCTTTAAGAAAAGACACCAGCAGTGCTTTTTGTGGGGCAAAAACATTGAAGATCACTTTTTTAAAACTAATTTTTATTGGTCTGTCTCTTTATTTTATTTCTTTTATTATATTGGTCTAAATTCTTGTTATACGTAGTTGCACTGTCCTTACTTAACTGTTGTTTTAATTGTGTCGATCAATTGCACTGTCTTTTGAAGATGCTAGTTAAATAAAGTTCATTATTATTTCACCATAATTTCACATGGGCTTGTGTTGGCTGCCCAGTTTGTGCCAGCTGCAGAGAAAAAGTTGAGGAAGGTTGAGACAGATTCTCAGAGGAGAGATTATCCAATTTCTTCTCTAAAAAAAAAAACTAAAACAAAAAAAAACACACCTTCACTGTCTGCCGCCACTGAAACAGCAGCCACTCGCACACTCCTCTCTTCTCTCACACACACACACACACACACACACACACACACACACACACACACCACACAACACACACACACCACACACACACACACACACACACACACACACACACACACAAACACAAACACACACACACACACACACATACTGTGCATCCTCTGCCAGGCATACACACAAAGCCAGACAGATAAACAGATTTCATGTACACACAAACACACACGCACACCCTTCTGTCCCTCACAAGACTCCACAGGGAAATGATAGGGTCCCCATGTAATAAAACTCAACATGGGGAAAATGGATCCCAGTCTGATGATTTATGGCCGTCATGTCTGAGAAAATATGGAAGAATGCACATGTGCCACACTCAAACACACACTCACACACTTACATAAAGCATGAGCACTTATTAACTAAAGAAGGAGTTGATGCTACTGTACATCATGGAGTCAAATGGTTTTTCACAGATAATTACACTGCCACCTCAGTATATCGGCAGACTTACCAGTAAATCCACACAAGCTCTGTTTGAGAATGTTAGTTCAAGTAGACAGCTTGAGTTCGCTGCCGCAGCATATTCAAACAGTACATACTGTACATTACTGTTCTTGCTGCAGTGTATAGTACAGTATCTAACATCCTTTTACAGCGGGCACTGTTTAAGCCTCTTTATAACAATAATAGTATGTGCTTTTCAAGATACTTGGAGTACTCAGACTCACTTTGTGCTCTCCTCACTCTCCTTCACTCTGGCATGCCTGCTGCACTGCTGCTCACACAGCATTTCATAAGTCATGTACAGCCTCCATCAGTGAGCACCAAGTTCCTCCGGGGCAGAGGTTGTTATCCTCACTTCCCGGTCCCCGTCTTGCTGACTTTGGTGTATCCTTGTGGGAAGTGACAAGATCAGAGCCCTGATGCCGAGTATCAGCTCTGTACTTATTCTGCATTCCACATAATAATCTAATCGGATTGAAAGTGTGTTATATACAGTGGTTCAGTAAACAATACAGTGCATGGCATAAATTATGTGTGTCCTGCAGAAAGATTTGATAAAAACAGACAAAAGAGAGAGAGAGAAACTTGATGCTCAACCGATGTTGAATGATACAGTGGTTGATTTCCTATATTCCTGTTCTCTGCACAAGGTTGTTTGTCCTGCGTCTCTTGTGGTAATCTGAGACTTTGCACCTCTATTTTTGCTGTGGTCAGTTGTGTCCTGAATTAGGCCACTTTCTTGCTTGTCTTATATTTGAGTTGAACAACAATACTTTATGCTCTGAGAGAGGCCTGTGGCTGAAATGCGTCAGCACTGATATTTTAATAAAATATGAAGCTGCGCTGCTTTGATGGTGTGCCACCTTTTTCTATTTTGATAACGGTTTTGGTAAACACATTAATATTTATATTGATATGCCAGGATGCTACAGCTCTCTAATGAATGCTTCTTCTGGCAAGTGTCTAAAAAGAGAGATTTTCAGCTAAAATGAAAAAGAAATTAATCAAAATTCTGCACAATGACCTTCCTGTATCCTCTGTTTATGTGTGTGTGGCACCTCTTGCCAGGTTGCAGAGCAGCTAATGACCATTGCATATGAGAGCGGAGTCAACCTGTTCGACACAGCTGAGGTCTACGCGGGCGGCAGGTGGGTGTCAAGCAACCCTCTCAGTTTGTGTGCAGTTCATTTGAGCTCATAACAACCTATTCATGTTTTACTGTGATCAGGTGCAGACATCTGGCTCCACTCGAGCCGGAGGAGGTGTTTTTTTTGTTTTTTTTTTATCATTCATTTTTAGCCTGAAGGTTTTATACATGTAGAGAATATAACTAGATCCATAAAAAGCAGCTGGTTTGTTTATGACTGTATGTTTATGACTATGTTTGTGTGCACTAAGAAAAAGATGAAAAATTGCAAAATCAATTCAAAATATGCAGGAATCACTAAAATGGCCTTTGTAATATTAAAAGTTTTAATAGACCCTGTCAATGCACTTCATCACCAACCTGTTTTGCCATCTTTTTAATGCACCAGGGTCTGTTTTCTTTAATGACAATGGATTGCAGGGTTGATATTGTGGAGGAAATGTTTCTGAATTCAAAATGCAGTTTAATAATGCCACCTCATTTATGTTTCCTTGCAGGGCCGAAATCATTCTAGGAAACATTATCAAGAAGAAGTGCTGGAGGTAATGGTGACATTAATGTGTGCGATTGCTTCATCACTGCTGTGTTAGAGAGAACGATGTGTGTACGATGTTGTAAGAGGCTGTGAAAGAAGTGTGTGTGTGAGGCTTGTATGAAGGAAAAGACAAAGAGGGAAATTAGTTTTTTTTTTTTTTTGTTTTTTCCTTTGGTGTATGCACATACATATGTTAGTGTTAGAAGTGTATGAAAAACAGCCATGTTGGATGTTGAAGTGAAGAATATGAAGTGATGCTGAGTTATGGAATAAGATTGCTGCCCTGTCAGAATTTTATTTTTATTTCTTCAAATCACAGACTTCAGCCCTAATCCTCACAGATATATGTATTTCTATGGACACACACACACACACACACACACACACACACACACACACACACACACACACACACACACACACACACACACACACAGAGGCACACAGACACATTGCATCACAGTAGAGCAGTCTGCCCCCAGGCAATTTCATTTTTCCACAAATTTCAAATATTCCCTTTATGGAGTGATTAAACATGCTCCATTTTTTTTTTTATTATTATTGATCAGCTCTGTAGTAAACTGGGACGAGAGAGTTACAGTAACATCAAAGGAAATTCAAATGTACATGTTGTCTACAGTGTGTGTGTCTACAGTGTGTGTGTGGATGTGTGCAGTGTTTCTATATAGTCCTAGTTATAGAAATCATATGAAATATTGGGATCACTACCTGAAATACTTATATGTTTTATTTCTACGACCCCAAGTTGACAATTTTTTTTTTACATCTCATAACATTAAACTTTAAGAATGACCTTTCATGTAACTGAACTGAAAGTAATAGGAAGTAACTGCAGGAGCCTTTGTCTGATACGTCAGCATGAAGCAGCTCTAATGCAGAGCAGTCAGCTGCAGCTCTCCTCCTGCTACTTGTTCCATCATTATATAGCTTAGTGTCATGTACTGAGGTGACTACATTACACCAGTAGGCGGTTTAAAGCCGCCGCGGTAGAGACTCACTGAACCTGACATCTCAGTCTGAGTGTTGTCATGAGTTAACAGTACAGACAGTACTGAGGGATGATGATACTACAAGTTCAGATTTTGTGGGGAAATGATATGGGCAATGTAACAGCTCTGGACAAACAGCAGGATGTTGAATTCTCACTTTATGACTCAACTCTGCAGATGTTCGTCACTGTTGGACACATCATTAACAAATTATCAGCTACTCTGAAACGGTCACCTGCTGAAGAATATGTGGAGAGATTGAGTTTAATGTTTAAACAGAGCACCAATTCAACAAATTCAGACTGGAAATCAGTGAACATCAGTGACAGATGAGAATGACTGAATGTGCTTTTACTAAATGCACACCTTATCCAAGGGAGCAGGGGGCTAATATCATCCATGCTGCAAGGAAAGTTGTGATACATTTGCAGAGCCACTGTAAATCTAAAAAAGAGAATACATACAATACTGAACCACTACAATACAATATGTGTCACTCACTGTGTTGCATCTTTTTCACAGGCGATCCAGCTTGGTCATTACAACCAAACTCTACTGGGGAGGAAAGTAAGTAAGAAACTCTCTAAACTCTAGTTTTCATTCCCAAAGGCAGATTGTGAATAGTTTAGCTTGTTGTTTTCTTTATGCTTCCACGTCGGCAACAGCTGTGTCCAGAGGCATCCGTCCGTCCCATTCTCATGAATATGATATCTCAGGTGCACCTACAGGGAATTTCTTCAAGTTCACTTGGACTCCAAGATGAACTTATTAGATTTTGGTGGTTAAAGGTCAAAGGTCACTGTGACTTCACAAAACACTTCCATAACTGAAGAATTCATGCGCTAACTATGACACAATTTAAGACAAATGTCTGAAAGGATAAAATGATGAAGTGATGACATTTATATCCAAACAGTCAAAGATCAACTTCACTGTGACGTTCTCCAAAAACACTTCGGGCCATTTTTCAATTCTGTAACTCAGGAACAGAAGGGGAAACTGTGACCATATTTCACTGGCTACGACAGAATAGCAGTCATTCTCGTTATTCAGGAAGTCTCCTTGAGATCAACATCTGTTTTACAAGAAAGGTCTGAGAAGAAATCGCATATGTACAACATCACATAAAGACAATGCAGTCACACAAAGCAGTTTGTTACAACTTACTATTGCAAATGGCAAACATTTGTTCCCACATCAACTGATAATCAGTCTCCACACACACAGGTTATATCTTTATATCTCTTATTATATTCAGCCCTCTAGTATCTCAAGGCATATTTCAAAGTTCAGCTTCCCAACACCGGAGTTTTTTTAATTGTTTTTATTTTGGCAGTTTTCATGGCCGTTTCCCTCTGAGCAACATCATGTGGTCAAGTAACAACCAAGAGGGAGAGGGGATAAAGGAATCTGCTTTAAAGTGCACACACACACACACACACACACACACACACACACACAGCCTGTCGGGCTCCTCTGCAGTGACTGTCCAACTGGTTCTGGTGATAAGGATGAACTTATTCTCTCTTTCTCGTTCCTGAGCATTCCCTCATTCCTGTAAGGGAGATTCAGTCCTCCATCTCTCCTCTGGACTTTAAATGCATAATGATGCCAAACAGCTGAAAGCGCACTGACCTATTTACATAAAACTGCCTGATATGCACATTTCATCTCATGTATTTTGTCACCCCGCTGCGATCTAAAAGTGATGGAAAAATCCTTTAGTGTTTTCAAGTCATCAGTTAAGAGCCAGAAAGACCAGATACTGTTGAAGTCAGTAAAAGCTTCTACAGCATTGTCTAAGAATTTTGTGAATGTGTGGATTTTTTCATTTTCATGTTTGAAGATCCAAAAGTGAACTAAAGAGCACAGAACCAGATTTACAGTGGTGCTCAGCACTGGTTTGTTTTTTGTCCCATTAGAGCAGAGACAGAAAGAGGACTGTCAAGGAAACACATTATTGAAGGTAAGACAAGCAAGATGAACAAAATGGCGACTTTAAACATTTTGTTTTTCCATTGTGTCAGTTCAGTCACTTTCTTCTGTCTTGGCCTGTCTCAACCCCTCTGTGTCTCCCAGGTCTGAAAGGCTCTTTACAAAGGATGCAGTTGGAGTATGTGGATGTAGTTTTTGCTAACCGCCCAGACAGCAATACTCCCATGGAGGGTGAGTCAGCCAATCAAAACAACTATTAATGATGTTGAGGAAAAGGGATAGTGATGCTGCTTGGTATTTAAGTAGAGCTATATGCTACTTTAGTTTTCACAGTGTCTGACTCCCAGATGCATCAAGTTCAATCAATGGAGTGAGAGACACTTTCTTTATTTCTCTGCACATTAGCTGTTTACACAGACACAGTATATTTCTGCATGTTTGTGCATATGTATCACCAATGATAAAACAAGAACACACATAAAACAGATTTTTTTAAAACCCTCTCAGGATTGGTTTTTGTTCAGGGACTGGGGGAGAGGGGTTGTTGATGTGAAACTCACTGGTCAGAGTGCAGCCATGTACCTGCAAGACAAATTAAAGATAGAAAATAACAAAATAATAAATCCACAGGACACCATGGCCTGAAACAGTGTTTGAATTTTTCATCATCACTGTTTGTACAGTGTTTTTTTTGTTTTCAGAGAGGATATTTCAGGACAACTAGTGATGTTAGAGCTGTTTATATTTCCAGTCCAGTTTTACTGCTGAGTGAGGCAGGCAGTACTATATAATTCATAATCAAGAAGTTGCTTGTTTATGTGCATATTGGTTGTGTATTGGTTACTTCATTAGTCATCATAAACTAATTGTGTTCTGTTCCATTCTTCAGGTGTAGACAATTACCTTATTGCTTCACTTTGTGTTGTTACTCTCCTTCAGTGGGGCTTTTAAATATATTTAATGAAACTTAACAAAGCTGTGTAGATAAGTTTCAAGTTTTGCTCTTGATTAATATAACTATTATTGCAGGCTAATATCCATTGATAATTGAACTGTGACTGTTAATGCTGATTTTTTTGAAACAACATTAAGGGATATTGTCAGGTATTAAGGCAAACAAAGCTAACCAGGGAAGATCTGTTTTCATGAAGTCATAATATTGCACACACAGAAAGACCTTGATTTTACACTCTTCTTGTCCCTCACCTCTCTATAGATTTCTGCTGCCCTGCAAACTCAGCTTACTTTTTTCCCCAGCTGTTCATTTCCTCTTTAATTCCTTCAGCTGTTAGATCTGTTGCCCTTCCCTCCTCAAACTTGTTTTGCACTCTCTCTTCTTCCCTCTCTCTCTCTCTCTCTCGTTATATTGGGGCGGAAATTGAGGCAAGTAGCATTTAAATGTGAGTACAGCATGTTGCCAAAGATGCAGCTGGCTAGGTGGCAGGAGGGCAGGACGAGGGACGGAGAAGAGGAGTAACAACAGTTAGAGGAGAGACAGAATTGCTTACTTGTCTTAATACTGTGTTATTTCCCTTGGCAGGATGGTATTTATTAAGACATCTGTGTTGCAGGTTCTTAATTATCACTTACCAAATGGAAGGAAAATTCGAAAACCTACATTCACAAGTCTCTTTAGAGACTCTGATTATATATCCTTGTGGTTCTCTACGCCCTGACTTTTCCTACATTGACTTCTACTTCTTTTTTGTCACCTTTTTTCTTCATCGTTTCCTCCAACCCATATATTCCATAGTCTTGCCAAGAACCGGTTATGCAGAGTGAAATACAAGCGTCCTGCCACAGTGAATGATTGCAGTATAATTGGAGTGAGCGCAGGGCGATGATGAATAACCTTAATGACAGTCCTAATCTGAGTTTTTGTTGGCCTTGACTGCCGTTGGCTCACGCAGTCAGCAGCGTTGGAGCTAATTGCATCATTAAAAATGCAGCGACTGAATGTGATCAGAGGGGCTTTAGCGTACGAGCTTGTTAGTTTGTCCCCGGAGTCGTTTGGGACGGGTGGTGAGCCTTCAGCAGGTAAGAGAGACTTGAGGACCTCTGCGGCGTTTCATCGGTTTATCACGGGACTGGAATAAAATGAAAAAGCTGATTTTCTCTCAACACCAAAATATGTTGCCCGCCTCTGGGAAATAAAAACAAAACAAAAAGCAGTTTCTCAGTCAGTTTCTTTTAGTCTCTGTGCCGTTTTTCTGCTTTCTTTATGTGCATTATGTACTCAAGTATGTTAGGATTCATCTCATGTTTATGATCGTAACAAACCATGGTCCCAAAGAACCCTGTAACATAATAATATCCTGTAATATATAATCATTTTAAATACAGTCTACGAAGTTTTGATTCTTTCCCTCAGTGACATTTTGCAGATAAATGCACGAAGAACAAATTTTTGAATGAATTTTGCGCAACTCATAATCATCTCTCTTATGTCCACTCTCACTCTTTAAGAGATTAAGTATGTTCATTCAATTTTAAAGTTAATGCTGAACCCCCTACTGAGTGAATTACGGCTTTAATCTAAACGTTGAATTTGGATGAATCCTCAGAGTAACTGGTTTAAAACAAGAGGGAAACGCACAGGAAAATCCTCAAGGCTTTACATAGAACACCTTTGTTGCCCGGTCTCTTTGGCATCTCAGGAAAAGACTCAGCTGGTTTGTTGAATGAATTTTGAACGTGTTTCATGTTGGTGCAGCAGGGATGTTTGTGTTTTCGTTTGATTGGAGAGCAAAGCTGTAGGAGCATTTCAGGATACATTTTTCTGCCTCTTGTTACTAGCACAGTATACAGTGGAAAAAAAACAATCAATAGTTCAGTCTTGATCCAGCTGATTGATATGATGCGGTCATGTGCTTATGTGTCTCCAGAGATCGTTCGGGCCATGACCTATGTGATCAACCAAGGCATGGCAATGTACTGGGGGACGTCTCGGTGGACGGCCATGGAGATCATGGTAAGCACCACGAAGCGTGTGGTAGAGATATAATTAATGCATGTCATCAGTTGTCTGTTGGAGTGAGGACCACAACAAAGACTGAAAATATTCAAGGGTATCACAGTTTTTCATATGAGTAATAAAGGTGGGTCTTCAACATCAAAGAAATGTGTTTCTGAACAACTGAAAGGGAGCAGAATCAGTTAAAATGACTCATTCTCTTGTACTGTTGCAGTATAGCAGTTTTAAACTTGCCTGAGCAAGTCAGAAATGAGGGCTGAAATGAATTCTATATTGATTTACAGTTTCTGGGGAAACTTTCATGCTGTTTTAGCAGATTAGATTTCATATTCCACTGACTTTCCTCAGTAGAAACCAACAGGAAAGCCTTTTATTTGTCGATTATGGACTGTGGATCCAGTGATCCGTAGAATAAACTGTCAAGAAACCATATATACACTAATTAGGAAAAGCAGACCTTTAGGATCCATTTTTAGCAGTTTATTCGCATTGTACAATCTTGGATACATTGCTCATGCACAGTCTTGGTAGTGAAAGAGAGAGTAATAAAAGAGGAAATGGGAGGGAAATGGAAGAAGTGCTCCCACCAAGGCACAGTGGCTTCCTCCGGCTTTGTTTCCTCTTCCTGTCAGAAACAATTCACCTCACATTTCAACTCTCGATACATTAATGAATATAAACGGGAGGGGGGCACAGCAGAAATGAACACATGCCTAAAGTGACATTCAAGGACCTAACACCCATTCCCTTCCTCTCTCATCTCTCTCTGGTCTCTTTATCACCCCAACCCTTTAAGCAGAGCGCAACGTCTTGACATCCTCTCTCTGTGATCCCAGGGAACAGGAGCAGATATCTTTGTAGAACACAAACCCAGATGAAAGCTGTGTAATTTAGATAGCATCAATAATGAAGGGGAGGGAGGGGGTGGTAAACACGGCTTTTCAGCATACATGACAAGGCAGCAGCACAGTATTTACACATATACGCTTGCATGCATGGCTACACACACACCCACACACACGCTATACATGCACAGGCTGGAGGCACGTCATGTCACGGGTTGTATAGCATTGAAGGGCAACTGGTAATTTGTAAGTTGAGTTACACTTGCATTATGCTGGATAGATTCCCCCTCCTACCGCTGTCTCATCCTGACATAGTCCACAGCAGGAAACCTACAAAATAAAAGTGTTTAAAGAAGCAGCAAGCGCAGCATATTTGCGCGTGTGTGTGTTTCCTCTGGTATGTGTTGTTGAAGGACACATGGAAATCCAGATAAGAAGGTATATGAGGAAATTGAAATGTGATCCCTCAGAGTTGTGACATAGAATATTGATTCGGTGATTTTCTGTGAACTATGCATTTAAATTTGGGCCACACTCCCACGAGCTGATTAACACCTTCCCTCTCCCATCTTTTCCCAGCATTTATCCCATCATAACTGATCCCTCCTAACCAATTTTCTTGCCTAACATCATCATCTTTGCCAGCTACCACAGTGTTTTCGACTGGCATTGTTTTTACCTTGTGAGTCTGTGTATGTGTGTCGTCATGACAAAATGTGGTCCTGCAGGCACCTGCTGTAGCGGGAACTACCACAGAGGTGGTTGTGAGAACTTTGACAAGTGTTTACGGCGCATTCAGAAATAGTTTTTTTCACATTTTGTCATGTTTTCCCTCATCCATCTACATTCAATACCCCATAATGACAAAGTGCAAACCTTTGCAAAAAATTAGCAAATAAAAAGGAAAAACTGAAATATCACATTGACATTAGTATTCAAAGCATTTGCTATGACACTTGAAATTTAGCTCAGGTTAGCTCATTTAGCTCCTATTTATTTTTGACCATCTTTGAGATGTTTTTACGCCTTGACTGGAGTCTACCTGTGGTAAATTCACATGATTGGACATGATTTGAAAGGCACACATCTGTCTATATAAGGTCTCACAGCCGACAATGCACATTAGAGCAAATGCCAAGCCATGAGGTCCAAAGAACTGCCTGCAGAGCTCAGAGAAAAATAATTCTGCTGCATTGAAGGAGCACAGTGGCCTCCATTATTCTTAAATGGAAGAAGTTTGGAACAACCAGGACTCTTCCTAGAGCTGGGCGGTCAATCTTAGCAGGAAGAAAAGGGCCTTGATAAGAGAGGTGACCAACTGCCCAATACCATCCCCACAGTGAGGCATGGTGGTGGTGTTTTTCAGCGGCAGGGACGGAGAGTCTGGTCAGGGCTGAGAGAAAGCTGAACGGTGCAAAGTGCAGTGATATCCTTAATGAAAATCTGGTGGAGAGCCCTCAGGACCTCAGACTGGGCCGAAGGTTCTCCTTCACTGACCCTAATCATTGTGCTTGACTGGCCCAGCCAGAGCACTGACTTGAACCCAATTCGACTGTTCACCGACACTCCCCATCCAACCTGACAGAGCTTGAGAGGATCTGCAGAGAAGAATGGCAGAAAATCCCACATCTAGGTTTGCAAAGCTTGTTGTGTCGTATCTAAGAAAAGGTGAGGCTGTAATTGCTGCCAAATGTGCTTCAACTAAGCACTGAGTAAACGGTGTGAATACTCATGTCAATGTGATGTAGAGTTGCAACCGTGCAAGATGCATGGTTTACAGGTGTGAACTCATGGGTCAGAACGTCAAAATGTTGCTGGCCGTCACAGCTGGTATGATCCCATCACAAGATTCTCTCTAGTTTCTATTGCCCTCTTTCTGCAATTCAAGTTTATGGTCCATAGAAGGGAAATAAGTTAAATTATGATGCTACAGTGAGATAGAACCTCACCACCTTTTTGTTTTTTCCCCTCTTTTTATCTCTAGGAGGCGTATTCGGTGGCAAGACAGTTTAATTTGATCCCTCCAGTCTGTGAGCAGGCAGAGTATCATCTCTTCCAGAGGGAGAAAGTAGAAGTGCAGCTGCCTGAACTGTACCACAAGATAGGCAAGTATTGTGTGTGTGTGTGTGTGTACATTTTTACTTTTTCTGGCACCATTCTTGCACATTCTTTCACACCACTTCCTTCGATGCATCTACCTAAATCATGTCTTATTTAACTCCTACAATCTCCATGGTGACAGGAGTTGGGGCGATGACGTGGTCACCGCTTGCGTGTGGCATCATCACAGGAAAATATGAAAATGGCATTCCTGAGTCCTCCAGGGCCTCCATGAAGGTAGGCAAGCTCACTTCATCATTATTTGGAGAAACCAAACCAGAGTGTTACCTGCTGTACCCCAAAATAAAATGAATCAGAGTGAAGCTGACGATTCATAACAAATTTTACTTGTTAAATCCATTTCAATTAGTGCAGACATTGTTAGACAAATGAGACCTGGGGCTGGGATATAAAATATCCTATGTTGTAGCTTGGTTGACCATGTTTTTTTTTATTTAGGTGTAACCAGACTTGACAGACCTATATGATCATCACACAGACCAGAAAGCTTTCCGTAGCCAAGTTGCTCCCAACCTGGGGTCAAAGATGTATCTGAGAGGTCATTACTGAGAAGACGATCCCTCACTGCAACACTGCAAAGATTTCCTTCTTACATAGTCAAGTCTTCTTAGGGGTTATGGTTAAACAAGTGACATGATCTGCCAGAACAGTGAGAATATATCTACTTTTTTTTTACCAGACTTTTCTAAAAGTTTTTTTTTTTTTTCATTCCAGAGCGGTAGCCTTCCTTCTTCTTTCTTCTTCCAAGACACAGACGCTTTGTTTTTTTTTCGCACTTTGTGAAACAAGTTGATTTTTATTGGAAATCTGTAAAGCTGTAATTGCAGATTTTATGCTTGAGATTTTGAACAATGATGATCAGTGAGATGTGAAAGAAAAGCACAAAATGATGTCATTTTTTTTTTTTAACAGTCACTTGACACTTTCATCTTTCCAGGCCTCTAAAAATCCTTGGAAACTGTTGTCCACTCTGAGGCCAAAACTAGCCAGGATGTATGGGAGGATGTGCAAACACACACATTTTAGTGTTTCAATAGCTCCACTGCAGGTTTTATGTAACAGACAAGTTGAAAACCAAACTTTCAAGGTCATACTTTCCATCCCAACCAGCACGCCTGTTTCCCTGATATGCTGTTTTTATTGAAATAAATGATTATGAAATCAGTGAATAGCACCTTAGCTAATTCTCTGTTTGCGCAGTTGGTAATTTTATATTATGTAACATGCTCACAGTTTATCAGTACCTCAAGCCCCCACCTTGATTTCTCCTTGACTTTTTTCTCTTCAGTTACTTCACCTCTCCCCATGTTCTTGCTCCCTAATTATACAAGTACATACTTGCTTTGTCCTATTTCATCTGTCTTCATTTTTTTTGTTGTTGTTTTTCTCTCTCTCATCTCTCTTTCTCATGTTGTCTTTCCCTGATCTCTCTCTCTCTCTCTCTCTCTCTCTCTCTCTCTCTCTCTCTCTCCCTCCCCCTCCAGTCGTATCAGTGGCTAAAGGAGAAAATAGTAAGTGAGGATGGAAGGAAGCAGCAGGCCAAGCTGAAAGAGCTGAACCACATCGCAGAAAAGCTGGGCTGCACTCTGCCTCAACTGGCTGTGGGTAAGACTTCTGTGCCCGCCTGCACTTCCTTATGATAAATACTGTGGAAGCAGCCTTGAGCAGGGCTTTGAAACGCTAACCGCTGAGGGCTCTCAGACAGGAACCTTTTTAAAAGCAAGACGTGACCGAATCACCCTCTGCATAATGTCTATGTTTTCTTATTATTTGTCTCCTGGGTTTGATTTCCTCTCTTGCTTCCCACTGACACATAACAAGACTTTTCAAATTTGTTTGTGTTTCCAACTGCATTACCATACATGGATAAAATAAATTAACTGTCTGGAAGGAAGAAATATGTGCATTCAAACTTTAAAAAAAATAGTGCTGTACTGGCAGTGAAAAATGACTGGTAGTAATGTAATGGTACAATTTGTGGTAAATGGATTCACAAATGAAAGCCTTGGATTTCTCCTTTAACACTCAACTTTTTGATAAATTGTTATGTGCGATCAGGAAGAGCAAGTAACGGACAACATTAAAAGCTTAGTTTTGGCTGTTGGTCTAAGACAATAATAAGCAGCAGTGCGCCATCAAGTGGGCTCTGTTTGAATCTCATCCTCTGTTTCTCTCCAGCCTGGTGTCTAAGAAATGAAGGAGTGAGCTCAGTCCTTCTGGGAACATCCAACCCTGAACAGCTCACAGAGAACCTCGGGGCCATACAGGTGGGAACATGCAGAGACACGTATCACACACTGATGTTTTTACCTGTGTTTTCTCAGCTGCATCCTCCTCTATCCTCCAGTTGTATTGATTTCTGGATCAAAAACCTGCCGCTGTCTATATCTGAATCTCTGTGTTTCTTTACTTGTGTTTTTTTTTTTTTTCTTTTATCTCCCTGTGTCTGACTCTCTCTTTCCTTCCAGGTTTATTCAGTTTTGCTCTCTCTCTATTTTGCTCAGGTCCTTCCTAAGATGACCTCCCATGTGGTTTCTGAAATAGATCACATCCTGGGCAACAGGCCGTACAGTAAGAAGGACTACCGATCCTAGACCAGGTTGGTTGACTACCAAGAGGTCAGCTGTAGCTACCTACTTAACCATACTGCTACCATGGACCCACCCTGCAATGTTAAAAGTCCATGGTTCTCTCCTTGGGCCCCACTCAGCTCCAGCTCCAGCTCCAGCCCACCTCAGCCTGGAACAGACAGCTTTGCATCTCTGTTTGAGACTCGTCCTGCTCAGATCAGCTCCACCAGGTTCATCTCAGGTGCAGTCCAGCTCAGCCAAGAAACGCTTATCAAGCTCAGCTTTTTTGCAGCCTCAAACGCAACTTAATCCATTTGAGTTAATTGAAACTTTGTGCCGCCCCACCAGCGTGTTTGCCTGTTCAGCACCGGCCCGTTCAGATATTACTATGCAGAGATTAGTCTAGCACAAGTTAAGAACCAGTGCCATGCAGACGTCATTTAGAGCACTCCACCTCGGTTCAACCCCATCCAGGAGCCTCATTTATAAATTCAATTAATGAAGTCAATATTTCAACTTAAGTTAGATGGTGAGGTACGCAGCTACAGCCCCTCGTTTTTAGAGATATCCAGTTTCACACTCACTCACAGTTGGTGGATGAACACAGGAAAGAACTGCAAGAATAGTAAAGTGCCTTGCTCAAGGGCATCTTGATAGTAGTTGGCGAGCGAGACAGCTCCGTTACTTATTCACTTTCCCACACCCACATCCTCCCAGCTCAGCCGATGACTCAGACCCTCGAGTCTCAAGCTTTCCTCTCTAATGTCCAGACTTCCACCTACGAGTAATTTAATTTGAGCACAAAATTCCTGTTGAGCATATATTTTATTTATGAGAGTTACTGTACCATAGCTGAATACGTCAATGCAAGCACCTTAGACTTGTAAATTAGAGGTACCTCAGGAAAGTGGACATGAAGAAGCTTCAGTTGCATGAACACCCCAGTCAGTCAGTCAGTCAGTGAGTGCTTTCATTAAATTGCTATGCAGTGCAGCAAACAAAATGACCATCATGGGATAAAATGTCTTGGATGTTTTCCCATGAAATGTGACCTGCGCATAATTCCTGAAAACAGAGCTTTATGAATGAGGCCTCAACAAACTAGTTCCCTATTAGCTTGAATTAGCTGCTTTCAACTAACTACCAAATGTATCCAGCCCTGTATTTAGTTTAGTACAGAATAGTATTCAGTAGATATTATAGGCTGCAAATCCTGAGCATATTAACCAACAGATGCATGTTTCCCCTGCTATAGTGTGCCTATCTTCTCTTTCCTACAAAGCACATGATCAAAAATACTACAAGCTTGTCTACTGTCTGTGAGCCCCTGTGAAGCAGAGGATTGTGGGACAAGAGTAAGTAGGATTGGGACACCGAAAGGGGAGAGAGCAAAGCATGTCGCCCCCATGTGGTCTTTTCCAGGAAGTGCTCCTCTGCTTCACTAGATCACAGAAGAGGGAAATAACGCTTTGCAAAAACAAAAAAAAGTGGACTACTTCTCTCTAAGTTTGCATTCATTACGGACTCGTCTTCTTTCTTGCCCGTGAACTGAACCTGCATTGCTGATTGCCTCAATGAACCTTACAGATATGGACTTCACCATATTATAAATCTATGTAATAAAAGGATGACTGACCTCCTGGCGGTCATGGTTATGATAACTGCAAAAACCGCTTGTTAAGGGCACAATGTGGCATATAGGCAAAGGTATTTGGGAAGTGGCAAAGATTACAGTATTTATTGTAGAGTAGTTAACAAATATGAAATTTATTTTGACATTTTGAGATATTGTTTTTTTGTTTGAAGATGTTACGTGTACATAAAATGTTAAGACATACCTTGTAACATAAGCAAAACCACGAAGAAGCCTCTCTTGCATATGAGGACTCCACTGTACTGTATGGCTAATATATAAATAAGATGTAAATAGAGTTATTTTGTTGCCCCTCTGCAGTGTTTGAATCTACTCTTCATCCCATCCTCCAACCCGACTGTACACTGTCACAGAATCCATTTCTGTTTCATGACCTCACCTCACCCAGGTATTTGGAATGAGCAAGGGTCAATTTGTTTTAATTTTGCATAGTGAGGTCAGATTATGGAATCTGTATTTAAAAATGGCATTAATTAAAGAGTATGTTATGGGAAATAAGTAATGAGCTTAAGCATTGTCTAATGACTTGACCTTAAATCATTATCTCTGACCAGGTGGCTCAGCTCTCAACGTTTCATGGTTGTCGCCTTTGTCCATTATTGTTCTCATTCTTTTTCATCCGGAAAACAAGCCATCACAGAGATCAGCAGAAATGTTGGCCAGGCTCCAGCTGAATCACTGTCTTGTCCTTGGTGCGCCGTTGTTGACTTGTAGGACAAACACCCTCCAGATTTTAATCAAAGGAAATTTCAGTATATTACAACTATCTATGCTTTTGCCAAAAACGCTGTTATACATATTGGAACAAAACATCAATAAGCAGTAATAGCCTCAAGGTTTATTTAAAGAGGTCTGGCCTTGGATGATGAATAGGCTTCCAGTGAGTATTTGCTTTGGCTTGCTGATAGATACAAATGAGGGTGACCTGACCAGCACTTAGTCATCACTGCAATGTACATTTGACCGTATACTAACAAAAACATACATCCAGAAAAACTTTTTTTGCCTTAAAATATATTACTTATACCCATTTGACTCTACCTACTGTTATTAACATATGGGCAATAAATGTTCTACACACTAAAATAGTAATCAATCAATTAATCAATGAATATTTACCTTTCAGGTCAAGTCAGTTTTATTTCCAATGCCGTAACTCTTAACTGTATAATGTGTGATATCACCTATAGCAGTGGTACTTTTTTTTTTTCCGTGCAAGTCGACAAGTTGCCCTTCAGTTTGAGTCAGTGACCATGTTGGACCGCGGCCTGTCGGTATGTGTGGACACTTCTCCACCTGACAGAGTGCCTTGACTTGAGTCCCGCTACAGGAAAAACATTCAGGGATGTCTTTCATTATGAGTTGTTCGATGGTTTTTGGATGCTGTCCTACAAAAAAAAAAAAAAGTGAGAGTAGAGCAATATTCCTAGAGATTCTATGTTGTTAGATTGCACATTCTGCAGTATATGTTATGTATTAATTAATTTGGATAAAAAGACAAAGCAGCAAGACTCACTCACAGCACAGTTTGTGTAGAGGTAACATTTGGGAAATTGCCTAAGAATGAAGTAAAACCTTCCTGGTATTGCTATCCTTGTCTATTCAGTCCTAGGCTACAGCTTGTTAGTGTGTGACAATAGCTTCATCTTATCTTGGCCTTTATTTAGACTGTTTCCCTACAAGAATCTAAGTGGAAAAACATATTTCCTTCCAACAGCCATTTCTTTCATGAAGCATCGGTTTGTCTTCACAGAAAGGAACCGTCTTTACCAGCTTCACAGTCTCTGCAAAAAAAAAACTCCACTAGAGAGAAACCGGACATAAATCTGTCAGTGCTGCCTGAGAGGAAAGCGCCAGGGGCAATTGGCTTTTTCACCGTTTCCTCAATTTGTTATCGGCAAAAGTAGAAAGTACAAAAGTAGAGGCAATTAACTGATTGATTCAGATAACATTAAAAGTCCTTCAATTACCTTTGTCAACATTTCCCATAAATAAATTCACCCTAAGATCAATTCTGATGAAAATGTCGTCTACAACATGTAAATTTGTGGATGGAAAAGACGAGTGACAGAGTTTCTCTTTTGTTGAAAAGTGACATGCAAACCATCAATGTATTATTTCCTCCCCTGAACAGTGGATTCTCTGTAAATAGTCTATGAAAGTGTGATTCTAAATAAATGCATTGCCAATGGAAACATCAGTCTCCACCAGTTCAGTAAACCTGATTGAGTTTAACAACATAATTTAAACATGTTATTAAAACACACAAAAACACTGTCTTATTTTGAAGAGGCTCTGAAGCAGACAAACACACACACAGAGAGGACAAGTATACCTGGTTGCTTTATTTGTTAGAAAAAACAGAAGACAGACCTGGAGAAACACTCTCCAGACATTTGATCATGAATTTCATGAAGTTGAAATGTGATATTTCAGCCCCCCCCCACTTAAACCCTATTCCGAAACTAAGTGAAAAACAATATACTGTATACCCTTCTTAAACCCAATCCCACTCCATTATCCCTCATCCCTCCAGCAGTTTTTCCCCTTCTTTTCTTCCTCGTTTACTTGGAGCCTGTCGACAACAGAGCGATGAGTCCTGAGGAGGCACTGATGGACAGAATGTAGTTGCTGGAAAAGGGTGAGTTAAGATAAACAGGAATCTAGAAAGCGCTGGATAACAACTCACTTATCAGCATCAATAACTTGTAAAAATCAGAATTTGTGAAGAAACATGGAGCACCTGCTTTCCTGGACATGAACAAATCACGTGAGATCTGTTAGAACTACTGTGTGCATAGTGTGTTGTAATTTTAAGACAGGTACCATATACAGACAAGCATATGATGACTGACAATACAGTAAGTGTAATGTTTGCGTTACCTGATTAATCCAAGTATTACTAACTTTGAGAATATGCATACAGTGAGGTACAGACCAAGCCTATCAAAATTAAAAACATCATGTAACTCTTCACCAGAACACCTTGCTCAGTTCAAACGTTTTTTATGATCTTGCCTCCATCAGAGTCAGATCTTGGTTGCTGGAGAAAGCATGGCGTGCTGCAGAAGAGTTGTGTGATGTGTTTTTAAGTCTGATAACCTCGTCAATTCCATGTGTCAGTACTGAGTGAGATGTGATTGAAAGGATACACGGTGGGGTTGAAGTTCTTGAGCAAGAAGAAGGAGGCGACAATGACGAGGACCAGGAAGAGAGTGTTGTTATAGAAGATGGAGAAGGTGGTGGCCTCGTAGTCTGCGACTTCATTCTTCTTCCACAGTATCCTGAACATAAGAGACAAAACAGCGTGTCAGTCCCTTTCATCACCAATCACCATGTATCATTTTTACACAGATTGTCTTGGGACACA